AGGACATAGAAGTTCAAGGCAGAGCTTAGTGTTTTGTACCTGTAAGCCAAGGAATGCTAAGGACTGCTGGTAACCAACTAGAAGCTAGGAAGAGGCAAGGGAGGGGTTCTCCTACAGGTTTCGCAGCAAACATGGCCCCACTGACATCTTGATTTTGGACTTCCAGGCTCCAGAACTGTGAGAGACAAAATGTGCATTTGGTTTGGTTTGGTCTGATTTGGTTTTAGAGACAGGGTCTCACTCTGTCACCCAGGCTGGAATACAGTGTTGTAATCATAGCTTACTGCAGCCTTGAATTCCTGGTGTCAAGCAATCGTTCCACTTCAGCCTTGTGAGTAGCTGGGACTACAGGTGCATGCCACCACATCTGGCTAATTTTTTCATTTTTAGCTTTTATAGAGACAGGGTCTCACTATGTTGCCCAGGCTGGTCTCAAACTCCTGGCTTCATGCAATCCTCCTGCCTCAGCCCCTCAAAGTGCTGGAATTATAGGTGTGAGCCACCACGCTTGGCCAAATTTGTGTTGTTTTAAGCAATCCAATTTGTGGTCCTTGGTTACAGCAGCCCTAAGAAACTAAAATACTTGCTAAAACTGAAGAAGCTGAGAATTTAAACTCAATATAACCAGAATTTATGAAATTACTTTTTTATAATAGTGAGGAAAAAAGTATCTTGCTGAACTATTTTTAAAAGTGCATATGCCGTTTTTAGTTGAAGTAAACCTTTTTATTCTTAAGTATTGACATAAATATAACACTTTTGTTCCTCAGACACAGCAACTAGCAGAATGCCTTAAACATAAATCATTCCACAGTATATTTTGTGGCTTCATTTAAAAAGATTAAAAATGAAAATAGCCCATAAATACTAAAATACTCTCTTATAGAATATGAGCCATAAAATACATACGGAACTACTGAAACGTGAGAGTAATCATTGAAAAGAATTTGCATGAGGTTCATCAAGGCAAAATTTCATCTTGAATGTATATATGAATAATAAAGAAACTATATGCCCTGCAGTTTGTGGATTATTCAGATTTTATATTTTCTGTTGCCTTATTTTGGCTTTGAAAAAAATACTCTTAGCACTAATATTACGTGATGTGCAGGGCCAAATAAAAGAACATGCATTTTAGTTTTTGGCATTAACATGCTAACAGACCTTATTACATAGATTTGGTAAGGATGAAAATTAAAAATATAATGAAAACCAAATTTGGGGCTGGGTGTAGTGACTCATGCCTGTAATCCCAGCACTTTGGGAGGCCAAGGTGGGTGGATCACTTGAGGCCAGGAGTTTGAGACCAGCCTGGCTGATATGGCAAAACCCTGTCTCTACTAAAAAAAACCCCACAAAAATTAGCCAGGCGTGGCGACGCATGCCTGTAGTCACAGCTATTTGGGAGGCTGAGGCAGGAGAATAGCTTGAACCCGGGAGGCGGAGGTTGCAGTGAGCCAAGATCGTGCCACTGCACTCCAGCCTGGGCGACAGAGCAAGATTCTGTCTCCAAAAAAAAAAAAAAAAAAATTTGGTGGTATCATTTGTAAATTCTTTGATTTTTGTTTCCCCTGAATACCTGAGTTGACTATTGTTTTGTTATCACAAGAGTGTGTCACAAGAGTGATGACATTTGCTGGAAAGACATTAGTGGATACCTGCAAAGGATCTGGAAGCAGGCAGCTCTCAGAGCAGGCACTACGGCAGCACGCTCCCAACCAGAGGGGAAAGTCTCCTGGCATCAAGTGTCCTGGAAGGCCACCAGGCACTAGCTGAATTGCTGTGCATCTTGTCAGGTCCATTGAGGAGCAGCACCTTTCCATTCTTCAAGGTCTTCACAAGCCTCCAGCCCTCAGGATTGTTCTGGACATTTTGGTTTTTGCCTATTATACCTGGTAGAAATAGCTAATATAATACAATCCCCCACCCCAGATCATTTGAGATGGAAGGATGAATTCCACAGATGGCATGAACTGAAGTTTAAATTCCCAGGTGTAGTACTCCTTAGCAGGACCAAGCCTCAAAACTGCCTGAGATCCATTCCTACAGATATATAACTAGGACTACAAAATAAAAAGATAACGAAGATTGATAAAACATAGACAAACTATGATATACTGACTACAATATTCTAGTTTCTGTGCTAAGCACTCTGCATATAATATCACTTGATATTTCTTTTCAATTTAATTTTGATATATTTTATAAACATCAGAACAATTGAGTGGTGAGTAGTTGGGAGTTGGTTTTTAAAAATTATTTTCCTTTAAAAGGAATATACTCTTTGGTATGTATATATCAATATTACAAAATAAAAACAATATTACAAAAAAGTTAAATAATATGGTAAGGCTAATACTTAAAACAAGTATTTTGTTTCATCTCGTCTTACTAATTACAGTTATTTACTCCTTACTTATTCCCTCTCATTGCCTGGTATTTTAAATCTTTTTAGTTATTTCTTCTAGTATTTTCTTTCTTATTTCTAAATAACATACATATATAGATACTTCCTGATTTTTCAGTCTTTTTGTCCATTGACTTCCTTTTTTTTTTTGTCTATTGACTTCCTTCTATGGAAGATGAGAATTTACCCTCCTATACCTCCTCTTCCTGCATTCTTGCATACATTTCAGTTCCTCCTATCCTTCTGATATATTTATATCATAATTTTTGGTTAAATTAATATATAGGGCTAATATTCTTTTGATTATATAAGTATTATTTATAGCTAAGTCACAGAGTACATCATGATTCTATTTCTTCTCTTGTATAACTCATTGTTTCCACTAGTTAATAAATACATTTTTTTTATTTGCTTGGTTTTGTGTGCTTTTATTACTCATTCATACCATGGTTCTCTAATGTAAATAAAAATGGCCTTTGAACATGTTTAAATGTTCTATCTGTTGCATATTTATCTTGAGAAATTTCATCTGAAGTCTTCAGTTCTCCTCCTGCTACCCCAAGTTAGTTGTTCTGTAAGTTTGACATATAGCTACTACCTGTAGATCCGTTCACCGTGATCTTCAGGTGTTTTTATTGGTTTCGCTGTGTTCCTAAATCCTTTGTCTTTCTCTTGCTATACTCCCTCTTTTTGGTAGATCACATTCTCCAGGGTTTTCCTGAGAAAGGTAAGTAACTTAGGGCCTCACTTCTATGAAAATGTTGAGATTCTACCCTTACAATTCAATGACAATTTTTCTAAGTTTAGATTTATTTTTTTGGTCTAATTTTTCCTCAAAAACTCTGAAGGCATTTCTCCATTGCCTTTCAGCTATAATGGTGCTGTTGAGCAGCTGCAGGCTACTCTAGTCCTCATTATGTTGTCTGTGTCCCCCACCCCGCAACACCCTAGAAGTTTTTAGGCTCATCTCTTTATCCTGGTGTTCATGATATGCTCTGGTCAGGCAAATCCTCTAAGAGGATTTGTATTTGCTTGTACCAAATGCTTGGGGGGTATTGCCAGTCTGGGATTAAACTGAATTAAATTCTTGGCTAGAGGTTTATCAGACCATTTAGATAGTCTGATTTTGGACCACAAACTTGTGTGAGGCTGCCTCATGGTTCCAAATTCTCAGTGGCAATTTCTCTCTTCTCCACTCTTGCCAAAATTTGAAATGGTCAATTTTTCTTGTGGCCCATTAGAAGTACTATGGAGGCTTATTTCTAATTTACCCTTACACTGGAGGTATCATTCTTTGGAATCCCAGAATTCTGGTAGAAGGAGAATCTATTAGACTTCCCAACTTGCGGTAGCCCCGGGCTTGGCTCTCTGGCTCCGTTCCTCAAAATGCCCACACTCAGCTGGTTTGACAAACACTCTCAGGATAACAGTGGTGCACTTGCCTTTCTAGATTTCTTCACTCGATAGCTGGCTGGCGTGGATTTTCTTTTTTGTCTGATAACTTTAAGATGATTTTAGAAAAATTATATATATTTTTTCTTCCTTTTTTTTTTTTTTTTTTGAGACAGGGTCTCACTCTGTTGCCCAGGCTGGAGTGCAGTGGTGCAATCATAGCTCACTGCAGCCTCAGCCTTTCCAGGCTCAAGTGATCCTCCCACCTTAGCCTCCCAGGTAGCTGGGACTGCAGGCATGTGCACGCCTGACTTATTTTTATTTTTATTTTCTTCTATATCGTGTAGTGATGGGGTTTCACCATGTTGCCCAGGCTGATCTTGAATTCCTGGGCTCAAGTGATCTTCCTACCTTGGCCTCCCAAAGTGTTGGGATCATAGGTATGAGCCACTGTGCCTGGCCTAAAATATGATATTTTGTCTAGAAGTTTTAGTTATTTCCAGCAGTCCAGATACCTACCTTGTCATTGCCCTAGAAATGGAAGTCTATGATTTTAAATATATTTCTAAGCCTCAATGTCCTCATTTGAAAAATGAGAATAGTTTATACCTCATAATACTGTACTATTGTGGGGAATAAGTGAGATGATTAGTGTAAAGCTCTTAATTCTGTGCCTGCACTTTAATTAATGTTTACTTAGTTTTTTTTAAATGGCATTCTCAGAGTCTAAACATACATTGCTCTATCTTGCTATATTTTTATTCATATATGGTGCACCTAATACCAAGGAAATGAAGATGTGAATAATCTAAGGTTCTAATAAATTTTATGTTATATATATATGAGATGGAGTATCACTCTGTCGTGCGATCTCAGCTCACTGCAGCCTCCGCCTCCTGGGTTCAAGCGATTCTCCTGCCTCAGTTTCCCAAGTAGCTGGGACTACAGGCGTGCGCCACCATGTCCAGCTAATTTTTGTATTTTCAGTAGAGACGGGGTTTCACCATGTTGGCCAGTATGGTCTTGATCTCTTGACCTCATCATCCGCCCGCCTCAGCCCAAATTCCTGGGATTACAGGCATGAGCCACCGCTCCCGGCCTATGTTTATTATATTAAGAAACATAGTTGGCTTTTTCCATTTCATAATTTTCCATTTCCAATGCAAACCAAGTAATTAAACATCATTACTAGCCTAGATCTTAATTGAGAACATGAAATTTATTGAAGGGAAATCCTCAATTAATTTGTACATTTCTTGAGAAATGGGAAATTTGAAAATATTCCCTCCCACCATAATCAAATAAGACTCTAAAGCGATAGAAAATGGATACTTTTTCTTATAATAAAGTAGGCTATACCCTATTTTTTACTGTTTTCTATTGCCACAAAGTCAAATTGTGTGGGGTCTTTTTAAAGTCCATAGATATGTTCGCTCTAAGTAGCTGCCCTTCTCTTTGAAAACAGTTTCTATCCAGGCCCAAGTAGGCCTTGCTCAGAATCCTATGGCAGTTGACCTGAGCCTTGGGCTGTCTCAGGGACATTTCTTTAGCAGGTGCATTGTGATATTTTTCACAGCCAGCATAGTTTCTGTACAGGTGGGTTTGATGAGCATCTCTGGGAGTAAAAATCCAAAATGCCCAGTGTCACGTAGTTCGAAAGCAAATGCATAAGGTATTCCATTTTTGTAGGCCCAATCCATTGAGCTACCAGAGCTCACATCTAAAAGTTAAAACAAAAAAAAGATCAGCCTCACTAAAGAGTTGGTATAATTTTGTAAATGTATATACTGTATAGTATCTGCTTATTAAGCTTTACTAAATCCTTCCAATTAAATACTGTTTCAATAAGAATGATTTAACAGGAGCTCCTTGGCATCTGGTGCATGGAACTTATAAATCATCCCTTCAACCATCTTTAAGGATCCAGTCTACGTGTGAATGCCTTACCAGCATGAGGACCTCAAAATTTCTCAACCTCAATTCCAAAAACATTTATGTTCATCCCCACTTTATTCACCTACAAACAACCTATACTGGGAACTCTTTTTGTTTTTAGTTATCACTCAGTTCTTCTCTACTTCAATGTCTAGAATACTGAAATTGTGTTCCCAGAAACGTTTTTTTTAATTTTTTTTATTTTTTGAGATGGAGTCTCACTCTGTCACCCAGGCTGGAGTGCAGTGTCACGATCTTGGCTCACCGCAACCTCTGCCTCCTGGGTTCCAGTGATTCTCCTGCCTCAGCCTCCCAAGTATCTGGGATTACAGGAACTCACCACCATGCCCAGCTGATTTTTGTATTTGTAGTAGAGACAGGGTTTTACCATGTTGGCCATGTTGGTCTTGAACTCCTGGGCTCAATTGATCCTCCCGCCTTGGCCTCCCAAAGTGCTGGGATTACAGGTGTGAGCCACTGCTCCTGGCCCCAGAAAACCTCCTATTTCTTCCACCTCCCTGTGTTTCCACTCTGGCCTAACCTATTCTGTGCCTTTACTTAGATTGGTAGTTTCCAGATTCCTCCCTGTTTTCTTGTAGTTTCATTTGATTCTCTAGTTGGCCATGGTCATTTATTTCACTGAATTTCTCTCCAGACCCTCAACATGCCTGATTCCTGTCCTTTTTCTGCCTTTGTTTGGCTCATCCTCAATCCCTGGCCCAGTTTCTCTGCTTCCGCTAGGTGAGGGAGCTAGAGAAAGTCTTTGCTGAGCAGAGATCCTATAAAGTCACACTACCTCGTTACTGAAGTCTCTTTCTGCCCCCATGCTGCTCTAGGTTCCTTTTCTAGTTCGCTTACTGAAACTTTCCCATTCTCTTCTCATCTTCACTCTACACTGTCCCCACTACTCTAGATCAGGGGTCCCCAACCCCCAGGCCACAGACCGGTACTGGTGTGCTCTATAAGTTCCATGCACTGGTACTGGTCCGTGGCCTGTTAGAACTTGGGCTGCACAGTAGGAGGTGAGTGGTGGGTGAGCCAGTGAAGCTTCACCTGTATTTACAGCCACTCACTATCACTTGCATTACCGCCTGAGCTCTGCCTCTTGTCAGATCAGTGGCAGCATTAGATTCTCATGAGAGCATGAGCCCTATCCTGAACTGCACATGTGAGGGATCTAGGTTGTGCGCTCCTTTTAAGAATCTTATGCCTGATGATCTGTCACCGTCTCCCATCATCCCTAGATGGGACTGTCTAGTTGCAGGAAAACAAGCTCAGGGCTCCCAATGATTCTACATTATGGTGAATTATATAATTATTTCATTATATATTACAATGTAATAATAATGGAAATAAAGTGCGCAACAAATGTAATGCACTTGAATCATCCCAAAACCATCCCTCCCCCACCCCACCCCTGTTTGTGGAATAACTGTCTTCCATGAAACCAGTCCCTGGTGCCAAAAAGGTTGGGGACTGCAGCTGTAGATGATTGCCCCATTGCCTCCTCTACTGACATTAGAGCCCTCTGACTTTCCCCTTTTGAGCTCAGAGGAAGAAATGCTCCCTGTCTTTCACATGTGTCACCCCTTGATACTGTTGGTTATTGTCGTCTGGGTAGTAAAACGCCCTTTTCCATGACTTTGTGCTATTAATTATGCATCTGCATTGGTCCAAGTACTGAAGGACCCCTTTCCTACAGCACTTCCTTCACATTACCCTACCATATGCCCTTGGTTACCCTCTTCTTTTTCCTCTTTCTTCTGCTTTAGAACCCGAGGGAGAACCTATATATACTGTGTCTACATCCTCAACCACTTTCAATCTGGCTATTGCCTCTACCCGTGTATTAAACTTCCTTTTTGAAGATTACCAATGACTGCAGGTCTAGCCTCTTTTTCTGTTTTTTTGTTTTCCCCTCAGATCCCACTTTCAGTGTCTCCACAGCCTTTAACACAGCTGACAAGCCCTCTGGCTACTCTCTCCTTCTGGCTCCTGTGACCTTACACTCTTTAGCTTTTCAGCACAGAGTTGAAAGCAGGGAACTAGACGTACCCTGCAGCCTGGGCTGTATCTGATCCCACCACATAGTGGGTAACTTCTCTGTGCCTCAGTCTCCCTTTTTGAAAAAGAGACTGATGATAATACAGTACCTGCATAGCATAGGGTTGTTGGGAAAATTAAATAAAGTAATAAATCACTTGAAAGTACTCAAGATATATTAACTGTTATTATTTTGCCTCTTTATACCCCCAAGTGCATATGTAGTTTTTAGTCTAACAGGCTTTTAATAATAATTCATTAAATGATAAATGTTTCATGGAAAAATCTTTGTATACATTTTTCCTGAAATTTATATAATCCAGCTTGAGATAATCCTACTATTATTATCATTAAATTTTCAAAGCATGGTCATTTACTCAAAAAATATTGCTTTTATGCTATTTTTCCTAGGACAAGTTAGAGATGGAATTATTATTATTATTGTTATTTTTTCTTGAGCCAGAGTCTCCCTCTGTCACCCAGGCTGGAGTGCAGTGGTGTGATCTTGACACACTGCAACCTCTGTCCTCCTGGTTCAGGCGATTTTCCTGCCTCAGTCAACTAAGTAGCTGGGATTACAGGTGCCCCTCACCATACCAAGCTAATTTTTTGTAGTTTTAGTAGAGACGGGGTTTCACCATGTTGGCCAGGCTGGTCTTGAACTCCTGCTCAGGTGATCCACCCACCTCGACCTTCCAAAGTGCTGGGATTATAGGTGTGAGCCACTGTGCCAGGCCAGAGGTGGAATTATTATATAAAGATGACAATTAAAATGACTGTTTCTCAGATTCCCTTTGCTTCAGTTAAGGACAGAAAATAGGCTGTTGCTTCAGTGTCCCTCTGGTTAGGGTACATTGGAACTACAAATAGTAGTCATAGTAGTCAAGTCAGAGACAACATGTGCCAACAGTTACATCATGGTGATGTGACAGCCTCATTTCTTTTTTTTTGAAACGGAGTCTCGCTCTGTCACCCAGGCTGGAGCGCAATGGCACCATCTTGGCTCACTGCAATCTCTGCTCCTGGGGTTCAAGAGATTCTCCCGCCTCAGCCTCCCAATTAGCTGTGATTACAGGTGCTCCCTACCTCTGCTTCCCTGGTTCAAGCGATTCTCCTGCCTCAGCCAACTGAGTAGCTGGGATTACAGGTATATGCCTCCATGCCTGGCTAATTTTTGTCTTTTTAGTAGAGAAGGGGTTTTGCCATGTTGGCCAGGCTAGTCTCGAACTCCTGACCTCAGATGATGTAACCGCTTTGGCCTCCCAAAGTGCTAGGATTACAGGCATGAGCCACAGAACTTGGCCGACTACCTCATTCCTGTGGTAATAGATTGTTCTCAGTAAATGTAATACTCTGACTGTGCCTCTATACAAAGTTGAAAAGGTAAACAGTAAGATCTAAAAAAATTAATGTTTAAAAATTGTTTATATATATTATGTTGGCATTAATTGGTAACATGATTTTTAAAATACAGTTTTTTTTCCCTTTCAAGGTGGCCACTGAAAACCAGTTCTAAAAAGGTCAACATGAGACCAATGATCATGGACTTTGAAAAAATAAATAAAACTATTGATACTCCTGACATTCTCATTATTAGAATAAACTTATTTGTCAATGTTAATTGACAAACCAAGTGTTTACTCTGAAGGCTGAAGAAAGTGAGTGGTAAAATATTAGGAATACAATGATAGGTAGATTAAAGAAGTCAAGGAGAATTTTGCTACTTAGAAGCATAATCAGATGTCACTACCTACACATATACATACAACATGTGTGTGTTTACCTTCATTTGCACACACATTCATATATACATGATTTCTTACTAGATTTTCCAAGTCATATAGTGAATACATTTTAGAGTTTAAAAGGCCCTGAATCCAATTCTTGTTACAGTTGTGGAAACTGAGGCCCAGGATTAATAAATACCTTGGCCTGGTTGACAGACCTGGCAGAATTAGGACTAGAATGCATATATTATGATTCTTTGTCTAAGTTCTTGCCATATACCCACTTGGAAGGACGTGCCATCCCTAAATAAGCCAGATCGGTATACTAATTGTTGAAAACATTGGAGATTGTAGTTACAGAAAGGGTAAGCCGGCTTGTTTCTTCCTGCACGCAGCAAACAGTGAAGATTCCTCTAGGAGGGGTATTCTCACTATGAGAAGGGTGAGAAAATAGCCCTTTATCACCACAGACTTGGAATTCAAGGCTGCAGCGGGCCTAAATATACTCAACAAAGTAACCCCTATCTTCCATTGGTTTTACATACCCCCTATTTATTTCCTATTTCCCTAGAAAATTTACTGCCCTTAGCCAGATTTTTTTTGTCCTGTTATCTATTCTCAAATTTATCATTCCTTGTCCAAAAAGTATAAAATCATCTTGCTTTGGCCACCTCTTTGGACTTCACTCTGTTGTGAAGATCCTGTACACATAGAATTAATAAAATTTGTATACTTTTCTCTTGTTTAACCTACGTGGTGTCAATTTGGTTTCTAGATCCAGCTGCAGGGCCTACTTGGAGTGAAAGATGGGAGGTGACGGGGGATTGGAAGTGATCTCTGGCTCCACTATACATTTTTCTCCATGTAAGAAAAGAAATACTTTAAAATCACCTTTTAAGGGATAATTCAATGGAAGGTGCTACATAAGAAACAGCATTTCATAACAAGAACAGTGGCAGAAAGGAGTAAAAGGGAAGCAGTTGTAGGGCTGAAACATTTACTTCATTATCTTCCCAAGGCCTGTTTCCACCCTTGTAGTAGTTAGAATTGCTTAAGGAGCCCATTTTGGTATGTTCTACTGTCATAAGATCTCAACTGAGCTTGCAGTCATTACTGCACGCTTAGCATATTCTCTGCTTTGAATTTGTTTAAATGGGTAGAGTGATTTCTGTCAAGCTGTGTAAAACTAATCAGATATAAACTCCTATTTTCCTCAGCTAATTTGATAGTCAAACATTTTACTTTAGGGAGAACACACTTTCTCCCTTCTAAAAGGAAATCATACAGGATATTGGTTCAAGAGAGAGGATTCTAACACAATGTACGCAGGAAACTTACACAATGTTGTGGAGGCTGGTCCATATCTGTATCGTACCCCATATACTGACTGAAGTGCATTCACAGCTTTATAGGCTGCAGATTCCTACGAGGGAAAATGGAGAAATTTTATATATTGTTGCATTGAAACTTTTTACATACACTGCTATGTTGTTTGAGCCTTATCGGTCATCAACAGATGGCTTCATTGGTTAAGATCTATATTCATTAATAATATTATATTACTCTTATGTCACACACTACATTTTGCGACATGTTTTAGAACACATCATTTCATTGATCTCACAACAAACCAGTGATCAATAATATTTCTATTTTATAGTTGAGAGAAGGAAGGCTCAGTAAGGTTAAATGGGTATGCAGAGTGGTTGAGCTAAGTACTCATATTTTCTGAGGCTGACTTAGTGTTCTATTCTCTTTACTTCGGTTCAAGGACACCTATTTTTTCTTTCTTTTTTTTTTTTTTGAGACGGAGTCTCGCTCTATCGCTCACACTGGAGTGCAGTGGTGCAATTTCAGCTCACTGCAACCTTTGCCTCCCGGGTTCAAGTGATTCTCCTGCCTCAGCCTCCTGAGTCACTGGGACTACAGGCATGTGCCACCATGCCTGGCTAATTTTTTGTATTCTTAGTATAGGTGGAGTTTCACCATGCTAGCCAGGATGGTCTAGATCTCCTGGCCTTGTGATCGGCCCATCTTGGCCTCCCAAAGTGCTGGTATTACAGACATGAGCCACTGCACCCAGCCAGGGACACCTATTTCTATAAGTTACAAAATACTTGGCAGGGCAGGGACCATGTCAGTCTCAGTCATAGCTCACAATCAGTACTTAGCAATATGCCTGTATACAACAGATGCTTGATCAATATTTCTTATATGAATGTTGAATAAGCATAAATCTGAAAGAGTATTAAGATAAGTATACTTTTCACTGGGTATGTACAAGGTATTTAGAACACATCTGAATCAATTAAGAAACCCTTTAATTCAGTAAGAATGACTTCTCTTACGCTATGTGCTTATCCTCACTGGGAATGGAAACAATTTCAGAATGCTCATGACTTATAAGGTTACATATGCCTCCCACAGAGGTTAGACAAGTACTGCTAAGAGGCAGAAAGTCTAAGGTGAACTTTTCCTACCAATGGAAAAAATTAGGAAAAATATTCAACACAATCGAAATACTAAAAGATGCATATTCTAACATGAACTAGAATGATACTCACTATCCTTTAAATATGGTATAAAAACACTGGTTTCAACAAGGAGTTAGAGAAGTATTATATGACAAGTGAGAGGAAAAGAAGAATGCTGAAACCAGAATACAACTCTCCCATTTCAACTTGCTTATGAATAATTTAATACTTAAATTGGAGCACTCTGGACAACATGGTGGTGTGTACTGGACTGAGTTTCAGGTTGCTGTCCTCATTCAGCTCAGAAATGCATGAGGCAGTATTTGCAGCAAACGTCACCATTTGTGGATATTCAGGGACCAGGCTCCAGAAGCTGGCAGACTATTTACTATTGATCTCACTGATGACGACATTCTTCTCATGGGAGCCAACAGAAAAGGAATATAAACATCATAATTAAATACCTTTATGGAGATTGTTCTAAGATTTTAACATCTTCTCCAATGGCCTCAGCAATATTCCATGGCAAGGACAGATATTTCTACATTTAGAAGATTATTGCATTCTGCTAGTGAGGGAACTTTGCTTCTCATTATTTAGGCTGACTAAACCCAAGGCAAACAAATCTAAAAAAAATAAAATAATCACTTTGCCTATTTACACAAAGGAGAGGCACAGTTTTAGCCTTTTGAGCTCACTGCACCTCTGCCACTTGGGTACTGGTGCATGTTGACTAGGGTTTAGATGTGATCTCTCCACAAAAACAAAACTCCATCATTTTTTCAAAGAATTATTTTACAGGGGGCCACAGCTAGACACCTAATTGAAAGGACTTACTGAAGTGATTCCTCTTTTCTCTACTCTATCCTGTTTCCAATTGTCAAAAAGTACCTAGACATCAGTTATTGGTCCTCAGCTAAGTAAATGGTGTGTGTGTGTGTATGTGTGTACATGTGTGTATATATATATATATTTTTTTTTTTTTAGACAGAGTTTTGCTCTTGTCGCCCAGGCTGGAGTAAAATGGCGTGATCTTGGCTTACTGCAACCTCCGCCTACCAGGTGCAAGCGATTCTCCTGCCTCAGCTAATCCTGTAGCTGGGATTACAGGTACCCGTGACCACGCCTGGCTAATTTTTGTATTTTTAGTAGAGATGGGGTTTCACCATGTTGGCCAGGCTGGTCTCAAACTCCTGACTTCAGGTGATCTGCCTGCCTTGGCCTCCCAAAATGGTGTACATTTTTATTTAAATATTTCCATATTTAAAGCAACTTAATGACTTAAAAAACATTGCCAGAAATACTGAATCTTACATATTGATGGAATATTTTTAAACAATTTTAATCAAATTTAATGGTTTCTGCTTAACATTCAGGGACTGTCTAGTTCCTGAGAATTATAATCATGATTTTAGTGACCAAGTTTATGATTAACTCTCTCCAGGATTTCTCAACAATGGCATTGTTGACATCTTAGACTGAATAATTCTTTGCTGTGGGTTCTGTCCTGTGCACTGTAGGGTGTTTAGCAGCATCCTTGGCCTATACCTGCTAGATGCCAGTAGCATCCCCCAACCCTGTTGTGCCAATGAAACATGTCTCTAGACATTGCCAGATGTCCACGGGGAGGCAAATTCATCCTTTTTTTTTTTTCCTTTCTTTGAGACAGGGTCTCACTCTATCACCCAGGCCGGAGTGCAGTAGCACAACCTTAGCTTACTGTAACCTCTGCCTCCTGGACTCAAGCAATCCTCTCACCTCTGCCTCCTGAGTTGCTGGGACTACAGGTATGCACCACTATGCCTGGCTAATTTTTAAAAATATTTTGTAGAGATGAGGTCTCACTACATTAATCAGGATGTTCTTGAACTCCTAGGCCCAAGTAATCCTCCAGCCTGGGCCTCCCAAAGTGCTGGGATTACAGGCACTAATGATCTATTTTATGCCACATCTTCCAATCCAAGACAAAGGAAAATAGGCTTAACTTAAAGTGGGAAGATAAACTTAAAATACGAAGAACATTCTCCTATGATAATTTTTTTTTTTTTTTACTCTGTGGGTCAGGCTAGAATGCGAGTGGTGCCTATCTCAGCTCACTGCAAACCTCCACCTTCCCAGGTTCAAGTGATTCCTTCCTGCCTCAGCCTCCCAAGTAGCTGGACTACAGGTGCTGCTGCCACCAGCCGGCTATTTTTTATATTTTTTTATTTTAGAGATGGGTTTTTGTCCAGGCTGCTCTCAAATTCCTGGCAGCTTGGCCTCCCAAAGTGCTGGGATTACAGGTGTCAGCCACTCTGCCCGGCCCTCATACAATAATTTTTATATATTATATAGTCCACATCATCTGTTGTATGAATACAAACAGACACAGAGCCCACGTAAGAAAAGTTGAACATTTGCCTATAGGAATACTGTGATACAAATTGTTAGGATGCCAGGTCAACAAAACAATAGCTATAGCAGCAGCAGCAGCAACAAAAACAAAGTATATTTGACCCACAGAGCAGCTAAAGAATAGCAGTATAGAATATAATTATCACTTTTACAATAGTTCTAAAGAGGGAGAATTTGCTCAGAATTCTTGGAAGGCCAAGAACAAAATTCTCTTTTTGGACAGAATAAGTCTTCCCCAGGCCCTCCTAAAGTCTTAGACATCTAGAGCAGAAATTCCTAAAACCCCAAGCAATTGGTGCAGGATTTGGAGTTTAAGGTGTAGGGAGAAAGGGAATGATTCTCTTCAATAAAATTTTAAATTCAAGTATAACATTGTGGTATAATAAAAAAAATAAATATTTGGTCCTTGTCCCTGGTTCTTGGCACACAGTTTCTAAAACCTCCTGGAATCTCCAGAGTGCTAAGGGTGTCTTTTGGATGGTAATGAGATGACTTGTGGCTGGAGGCCCCTAAGTAGCTTCAGGATGCAGGGTGCTGCCAGAAAGACCAAACTTCGTGATTAGAGAGTTGGAACTTTTAGCTCCATCCTTCACCCTCTGAGGAGAAGAGAGGGGCCAGAGATTGAGTAAAAACTCCAATGGCTAATGACTTAATCAATTAGACCTCCATAATGAAATCGCCATGAATACCCCTAAACAGCGGGATTTGGAGAGCATTTGGGTTAATGAGCACTTGATGTGCTGGGAGGTTGATGCACCCAGAGAAGGCACAGAAGCCCTGAGCCCCTTCCCCCGTACCTTGGCTTATGCATCTCTTCCATTTGGCAGTTCCTGAGTTGTGTGATTGATGGATTGAGAAGATAGGGTCTCACTCTGTCTCCGTGGCTGCAGGGCAGTGGCATGAACATGACTCACTGCAGCCCTGACCTCCTGAGCTCAAGTGATCCTCCTGTTCCAGCCTCCTGAGTAGCTGGGACCACAGGTATGTGCCACCACCATGCCTGGCTAATTTTTAATTTTTTTGTAGAGATGGGGGTCTCACCATGTTGTGCAGGCTGGTCTCAAATGTCTGGGCTCAAATGCCTGGGCCTTTCAAAGTACTGGGATTATAGGAGTGAGCCACTGTATCCAGCCAATTGTGTATCTTAAAAAAATCGGTGATAGTATGTAAAGCTCTTTCCTGAGCTCTGTGAGTCATTCTAGTGAATTATCAAATGAGAGGTGGGCTGGTAGGAACCTGCAATTCTGCAGCCAAGTCAGACAGGAATGTGGTTAACTTGGGAACCCCCTACTTGCTACTGGTGACTGAAGTGAGGGCAGTCGTATGGGACTGAGTCCTTAAACCTGTGGAGTCTGATGCTAACTCTGGGTAGTGAGTGACCAAATGGAATTGAATTGTTGGACACCCAAGTGGTGTTGGAGAAGTGGTACTGGAAAAAGACATTACACATTTGGTGTCAAGAGGCCAAAAAAGCCCTAAAATATACATGTAGAAGAGTACACCGTTTTTGAGTTGATTGCTCAACAAATGATCACAAATTGAACACATTCATGTAACCACCACCCAGGTCAAGGAATAGAACTTCAGCAGCAACCCAATTTCCTCCCAATCACTGTACCCCCTCCTTTTTCGCCAAAGGTAAGTGCCACCTGACTTCTAGCACTGTATATTAGTTTTTCTTGGTTTTTGAACTTCATAGGCTTTTAGATGCTATAGGCTCTGAAATGACTCACTTAGTGATGAATGATGCCCCACAGTGAATAGCTTGTTGGGTTTCTGATATAAGGAGAGAAAGAAACTCTGCTTTTTCATTTTTAAGTAATCTTAAGCCTGAAAGTCTGTTCATTCTGTTAGACAAGTACTAACTTGTCAGATACATACCCAAAGACTTAGTAGCATTAATCAAACAGCACTTATAAATTAAAACCTGCTTTTAACTAATGAGAGTCAATCTATAATTTATGAACAATCGTTTACTCAATAAAGTTAATTATAGCCTTGCATACATGACCAGAGCTATGATACTAATCAAATCCACCCTAACCTTTTCTGTGTAACCTGTGGTAAGAATACAAATAGGTTTGAAAGGATTGTATTTGAGAAGCAGCACTACGGTTAAAAGCAACAGCTATGGAACTAGAGTTGGGGCTGAATCCTGGCTATGAGACTTAGTAGTTGTGTGTTCTCCATCTAATTACTTAATCTCTTAGCTTCTAGCTTCTTTATCTATAAAGTGGGGATAATAAAAGCTGCCTCATATGATTGTTATGAAGAATAAATGAATCAATACATGTAAAATACTTATTAGGATAACACAAACATTTGTTTGCCATTATCATTAGTACTTAGAACCATCTTAGCTTCAGAAAAGCAGCATGAAGCCTGATGCACATGCACAGGGTCAAATACTTACCACACAGCTAAAATTGGGAATTGTTGCATATTTGTAAGAATAGGGATACAGCAACATCTGAGCATATGCATGAAAGGAGAGATAAGCCCTAATGTGCTTTCTGTGTTTTCGAAGAAAGTTAGCTACAGCCTTCACTTCTGGCTCAGATTCTGGAAAAGGGCCACAGTATGTATCGTCACAAGGGTGCATAGAAGCTCCTTCATCTGCAAGTCAGAAAAGAAAATGGGGTAAGGAAGTAGGCAGAGAAGAAACAAGAAACACAAATCAGCACTGTTAAGCTGTGATTTTGCTTTTATTTCTGCAAACATATGGTATTATTAAGCAATTCATCTAACTTCTCATTTATGGAAATCAATACAAAAGTTCCAAGGTGATTCAAGTTCCCATGCACAATAGGAGGGGCTGAATGGAAACCAGGTACTGATTTTTCAAGTTTGAACCTGCACAAACTACTCTAAAGAAATTGTTCTATCAGCTGTCACTTCTAGCTGCACCTAGCAACTTGAACAATAGTACAGCAAGTGTTCAACAAATATTTGTTGAATAAGTTAATGTCAGTTAGAAAGAAAAGGCTAGACATATGTAAAGGTATCTGATAAGATACAAATACTGATATAGCAAGAACATAAAGACAGGCCAGAAATAATTTCACCAATTTCTATTATACTTTTAGACCAGCACTATCCAAACTAGTTTTGTAAAACCAGGAGGCTTTTCTAGTTATCTTGGTTAGAGTTTAGTTATGAAATCTTCAAAACAAAATTTTAATAACTTTTGAATTAAAAATCAAATTATATAGCGTATACTTAAGAGGTCTAAGGAAGGAAGGAAGGAAAATAAGAATCACTAGAACAATCACAAAGTATTATGGTTCTAAGAAAATTTGGAAATAATTACATTTTCCATAGTTATTTGCCATATGAGGCCACTAATGTCTCTTCCCTACCTCTAGAAAATGATAATTCTCTCCACAAACTAGTAGAAAATGTTTGGTGGTTCTGTGATGTAGTCAAATTCTACTGAACATAAAAAGACAGCCCAGTCAAATTGGGCTAAATCTTGAGGACCATAAGTGTAGTTTATGCTGCAGTGAAGACAAGAGTCAAGATGGGGAACTTAGAGCAATTGGGGTTTTCCTCCTTTGAATCTCATCCTGGAGATGCCTCAGAAGCAAGTGGGCTATAGGTGGAACTCAGAATGTAACATAAAAACTATAGCTGGGCAGGGTGTGGTGGCTTAGGCTTGTAATCCCAGCACTTTGGGAGGCTGAGGCGGGTGGATCACAAAGTCAGGAGACCATCCTGGCTAACACGGTGAAACCCCATCTCTACTAAAAATACAAAAAAATTAGTCGGGCATGGTGGCGGGCACCTGTAGTCCCAGCTACTCAGGAGGCTGAGGCAGGAGAATGGTGTGAACCCAGGAGGCGGACTTGCAGTGAGCGGAGCTTGCGCCATTGCACTCCAGCCTGGGCTACAGAGAAGACTCCGTCTCAAAACAAAACAAAACAAAACAAACTATAGCTGATACTCTGGAGGGAATGGAAAAAATAAAGAGAGATCTGTGGAATACAGACCTAAAGCACTGGAAAGGCAAGATCACAAACTAAACAACTAATTCTGGAGGGAGCAGAACTGATGAGCCAGAGAAAACAAGAATTTACAATAATCCTAATAAATATTCTCAAGGGCATGTAGGAGGGCACTGGAAACAAATAGGGACAAGGAGTTATAAAGAAAGGACCAATCAGATATAGTAGAAACAAACTATTTAATTCAGGGTTGAATGAATACAGTTGATGAATGAATTAATAAGACGGAGAGTGGTTTGAAACATTCCCAGAAGGCATTGGGAAGAGTAAAGAATAGGAAAAATGAGAGAAAAATGAAAGGTCATGAAAAATAAAACAAATATCAATATGTGATTAATGGGAGCCCTAGAACGAAAGGAAAAAATAAAGTTAAATATTTGAAGAACTGCTAATTAAAATTTTTCCACAATTTTTTTTTTGTGTGGTGGGGATGGAGTCTCGCTTTGTCACTCAGGCTGGCATGCAGTGGTGCAATCTCAGCTCACTGCAACCTCTGCCTCCTTGGGTTCAAGTGATTCTCTTGCCTCAGCCTCCTGAGTACCTGAGATTACAGATGCCCTGCCACCATACCTGGCTAATTTTTGTATTTTGGGGGGAGACGGGGTTCCACCATGTTGGCCAGGCTGGTCTTGAACTCCTGCCCTCAAGTGATCTGCCCGCCTTGGCCTCCGAAAGTGCTGGGATTACAGGCATGAACCACCATGCCCAGCTAAAAACGTCTCCACAATTAAGGAAAGATTGAACAGACTTATTGTGCACCAAACAAAAGAGATAGAGAGGAAAATATCAACATTTTGACAAATTATAGTGAAATTTAAGAAAAGAAAACAATTCTAGAGAGAAAAAGCAGATCATTTAGAAAGGAACAAGAATTCCATTCACATTTGACTTTTCAACAGCAACATTAAAGTAATAAATCCAATGTATTTATTAAAAAGGAATTTTGAATCTAGGCTTCTATATCTAGAAGCCTAGAATCCAGTCAGCTGGATTCTCACTGCAATGTGAGAGTGAAATAATGATGTTCTCTAGCATCTAAAAGGCCTCAAAAGAATATACCATACACTGACATACTTTGAAAACACCCCTGAAGAAAGTATTCCAACAAAATAATGAGTAACTCCAGAGAGCCTATCTGGTATGAGAATTGCAGGTTAATAAGTAGCTTAGTAACATCTGCTATCTAAATAAGCAATATTGAAAGGGTGGAGGGGTGGGAAGTATAATGATCTAGGTATCAAATCCTAGGAAACAACAAATTGATGGAAAAATAAAGAGGGGGGTGGGCAGGGAAGCCAAAAGCATGCTAGATTGTTGGTCTATTTTGAAAAGGAGATATACATACTGATTAAATTTAGAAATTGATGGAAAAAAACAAACCTAAGTATGGGTATTAAGTTAGGAATAACCACCAGAACCAGAAAAATAGAACACAGACTTCATAACTAATGGAATTAACTTTGAACCATTTAATTGAAGGTAGTAAAGAAGGAAAAAAGAAAAAAGAAGAAACAGGGCCAGCTGCAATGGCTTACACCTTAATCCCAGCACTTTGGGAGGCCAAGGTTGGAGGACTGCTTGAGACCAGGAATTTGAGACCAGCCTGGCCAACACAGTGAGATCCCATCTCTACAAAAATTAAAAAAAGTTAGCCAGGTATGGTGGCACACACCATAGTAGTCCTAGCTACTCGAAAGGCAGAGGCAGGATCGCCTGAGCCCAGGAGTTCGAAGTTACAGTGAGTTGTGATGGTGACATTGCACTCTAGTCTGGGTGACAGAGCAATACTGTGTCTTAAAAGAAAAGAGGCTGAGTATGGTGGCTCACGCGTGTAATCCCAGCACTTTGGGAGCCAGGGCAGGTGGATCACCTGAGGTAAGGAGCTTGAGACCTGCCTGGCCAACATGGTGAAACCCCATTTCTACTAAAAATACAAAAAAATTAGCCAGGTGTGGTGGTGCATGTCTGTAATTCCAGTTACTTGGAAGGCTGAGGCAGGAGAATCACTTGAACCCGGGAGGCAGAAGTTTAAGTGAACTGAGATCACACCATTGCACTCCAGCCTGGGTGACAAGAGTGAGACTCCATCTCAAAAAAAAAGAAAGAAAAGAAACACTGGAAAACAGAGAACAGGAATACAGGAATTAAGACGGCAGAAATAAGTCTTAAAGTAACAGTGATTATGAAGAATGCTAATAGGTGAACTACTTGATCAAATGACTGATTTTATTTTATTTATTTTTTACCTCCAATCCTGCAGAAAATGATTTAAAAATTATTTTTAATAGAGGTGAGGTCTTGCTATGTTGCCCAGGCTGGTGTTGAATTCCTGAGCTCAAGCAATCCTTCCACCCTGGATTCCCAAAATACTGAGATTACAGGCATGAGCCATAGTGCCTGGCCTGATGTTTTCATATAGAAAAATAAAGAAGATCCATAGAAAAACATGTGGTATAAGTAGATATACCAGATGTCTACTTTTAGTACTGTGGCAGCCTTGGTATTTGTATTAGTTTCCTAAGGCTGCCGTAACACATTACTACAAAGTAAGCCACTTAAAATAACAGAAATTTATTCTCTTACAGTTCTTGAGGCTAAAAGTCTGAAATCAAGGTGTCAGCAGAGCTAGCCACCTTCTGAATTCTCTACGGAAGAATCCTTCCTTGCTTCTTCCTAGCTTCTGGTGGTTCTTGGCAATCCTTGGCATTTCTTGGTTTGTGGATGCATTCCAGCCATGTATCACTTAAAGAAAGACATGCCAGGTATGGTGGCTCACGCCTGTAATCACAACACTTTGGGAAGCTGAGGTGGGTGGATCACTTGAGGTCATGAGTTTGAGACCAGGCTGGCTAACATGGTGAAACTCTGTCTCTACTGAAAATACAAAAATTGGCTGGGCATGGTGGCATGCACCTGTAATCTCAGTTACTCAGGAGGCTGAGGCGTGAGAATTGCCTGAACCCAGGGGGTGGAGTTTGCAGTGAGCCAAGATCATGCCACTGTACTCCAGCCTGGGTGACAGAGAAAGACCCTATCTCAAAAACAAATAAATAAAAAAAAAATAATATGTTCTGAGAAATACATCATTAGACAATTTCAACAGTGAGCGAACATCATAGAATGTACTTATGCAAATGTAGATGGTGTAGCCCATTGCTCTAGGCTGTAAACCTATACAGTATATCATTCTACTGAATACTGTAGGCAATTATAACAAGATGATAAATATTTGTGTATCTAAACATGGAAACAGTGGAGTAAAAATTCAGTATTATAATCTTATGGGATCTCTGTCATATATACAATCACTGTTGACTAAAACATTGTCATGTGGTGCATGACTGTACTCCAGTCTCTTCTTGTATGTTCACATGGCTTTCTTCCCTGTGTGTTTCTCTATGTGTCCTCTCTTCTTCTTATAAGGACAACTCACTGAATTTAACTAATTACTTCCACAAATAACCTTTTTCCAAATAAGATCATATTCCAAGGTTTCAGTGGACATGAATTTGTGGGGAACACTATCCCACCACAGTTTTGAGGAATTATCCTATTGCGGAAAAACTAGATCCTGCATAGGATACTTTCTCTGAGACACTGTTTTTCTTGCAA